CCTCCTGGCCACCAGCTCTCAGTCCCTCTCTTCCCATGAATCTTGAGTCCCCAGCTGCTCCCTCTCTTCATGTCCCCATCACTGTACTATGTCTTTTATATCTGTGTTGTTATTAAGTGCTGTTGAGTCAGTTTTGACTCAAAGAGAACCTGTATAGGGTTTTCGAGATACAGCTGGTGGGTTTGAACTTCCAACCTTGCAGTTTACAGTCCAGTGCTTATCCTACAACGCCACACCAGGTCTCCAAATAGTTCATTTTAAATAGTAGTTAAGGTAAAGACGTTTTTCAATATATATCTAGACACCATTTCCTGTTTTTATTGTTTAGGTTTTCTCTAGTAATGCATCATGTTTTTAAATGAAATAGTTTATTGGGCTTTTTAAACTTGTTCTTTCACTTAAGGATGTATTGTGAACACTCTTGCATATTAGGAAATATAAATACACCACATTATTTTCTTTCTTTAATATCTGCTATTCATACGCAATTTTTCTATAAAGTTAAACCTGCTTTAAAAAACTTATGCCTAGGATGGGCAACTTAGACATTGGCTACCTAAAATGGAGGGGGGGGTGGAGTTCTACAAAGCCTTACAAGCTTTCAAGAAGGATCCTAGTTCCACAGGGCACAGGGTAAAATCTCCATTGAGTGGTTTCCAATTTATCTGGAGGGGGCTGATGAGAGCAGATGGTTATAAGACTCATGTGGTACAATTGTGAATAATTGCTATCAGGACTAATTGTGAATGTTGCAAATGTAAAGGTAGACATTTTGTAACAAAAGGAGGGGAGTGGTTGATTTTGCAGTCCAGGAGCGGAGGTCCCTGGGATCATCAAAGGAGAAGAGCTGAACGTGAACCGTATCCAGAGAGAACCAGAGATGGAGGCAGACGATGACGTGGAGAGATGGAGCAGCTGAGGACTCTGGACTCAGGAAGGGAGAGGGGCTGTGTGCTGGTTGTTTGATGATGCATGGAGGGGATTGTAACCATGGCAATGAAACAAAATATGATAGTATGAATGTAAAACTAATGTTCTCCCATGTAAACTATCACATAATTCACAATAAAAACTTAAAACAACAAAACAAAAACCTTATGTCTATTAATTTTATAAAAATGAGATGTGAGAACAATACTTATAGTAAAAAAAAGAAAAAAAGTAAGAAAATCCTATTGCCATGGAGTTCATTCCAACTCATAGTGGCCCTATAGTACTGAGTAGTGTTGCTCCACAGTGTTTCCAAGGCTACACTGAAGCAGATCGCCACAAATTTCTCCTATGGTGGATTTGAACAGACGACCTTCCATTTAGCTGCCAAGTGCTTAATAACTGCGCCATCAGAGCTCCTTAGTACGTATAGTGGTGGTAGGGGTGGTTGTGTGCCAGCAAGTCAGTTTTGACTCATAGCAACCCCGTATAGGGTTTCCGGTGCTGTAAATCTTTATGGGAACAGAAAACCTCATCTTTCTCCCTCGGAGCAGCTGGTAGATTCAGCCTGCTGACTTGCAGTTAGCAGCCCAAACTGTAGTCCATTACACTACCAGGGGCTCCTTTAGTACTTATAGTACCAAGTACAAATTTCTTCAGGGATTTTTTTAAAAGATTGCAGAGTAGCATAAAGTGCATAGATTTGTGTACCAGAGTAAATCAAAAAGTATTGCTGCATTTAAGAAAGTTACTTATAAGACTCCTATGGCCTGGTTGGTCAGCAGTGTAGCAAGACCTGAGGACTCTTGGGCCCAGAGTCAGTGACATAGCCACAGAGAACTAGAGTGGAGAGTGAAGCGTCCAGCTGATAAGAAGAGAGGGCATATGCATAAGAACACCCACACTTGTAGAAAATACTCACTTGACCTGGCTTCAATGACTGGATGATCAGAACTGAACTAGAAGAAGAAAGAAGAGGAAAAAAAGAGTAATCTGACACAATTTGATGAACTTGACCTACACCTATGGATGCAGTAGCTCAAAAGAGGGAACAAATCTTTATAGCAAGGATCATTCCCAACCCCTCTATATACAGAGTAGACAGGGATGGGCAACTTGGACATTGGCTGCCCAAAATGGGGGGGGCTACAAAGCAAGAAGTGACTGGCTTACAAGCTTTCAAGAGGGAGCCTAGATCCAAACGGCACAGAGGAAGGTAGACTCTCCACTGAGTAGTATCCAATCTGTCTGGGTGGGGCTAATGAAAGGAGATGGGAATAGGAGTCTTGTGGTACAATAGTGAATAATTATTATCAGGACTGACTGTGAGGATTGGAAATGTAAAGGTGGATGTTTTGTAGCAAAAGGAGGGGAGTGATTGACTGTGCAGTCTAGGAGCAGAGGTCCCTGGGACCATCAAGGGAGAAGAGCGGAATGCAGGACCCTATCTAGAGAAGCAGCGATGCCATAGATGGAGGCAGAGACCATGACATGGAGAGATGGAGCGTAATCTGACACAATTTGATGAACTTGACCTACATCTATGGATGCAGTAGCTCAAAAGAGGGAACAAATCTTTACAGCGAGGATCATTCCCACCCCTTCCATACCCAAAGTAGACAGGTATGGGCAATTTGGACATTGGCTACCCAAAATGGGGGGCTACAAAGGCAAGAAGTGACTGGCTTACAAGCTTTCAAGAGGAAGCCTAGATCCAGAGGGCCTGGAGGAAGGTAGAATCTCCACTGAGTAGTATCCAATCTGTCTGGGAGGGGCTGATGAAAGGAGATATGGATACGTCTCTTGCGATACAATAGTGAATAATTGTTATCACTACTGATTGTGAGGGTTGGAAAAGTTAAGGTAGACATTTTGTAGCAAAAGGAGAGAAGTGATTGACTTTGTAGTTTAGGAGCAGAGGTCCCGGGGACCATCAAGGGAGAAGAGCAGGGAGCAGGACCCTACCCAGAGAAGCAGTGGTGCCTGAGATGAAGGCAGAGACGAAGACGTGGAGAGATGGAGTGGTCAGGAACTCTAGACCCAGAGAGGGAGAGGGACTGTGTGCTGACGACCAGGGGAGTGGGGGGCAGGCTTGCAGGGTATATCCTTTGGTTGGTTGATAATGCATAGAGAGGATTGTAACCATGGCAATGAAAGGCTATACGACAGGATGAATGTAAAGCTAATGGTTCTCCTATGTAAACTATCACATAATTTACACAGACAAAAAAAGGAACCCTATGGAATTTGTTCTCTATTGAAAGATAAATTCTGTATGTGCAGTGACTTTCATTTTTTTCTGTTCATTGCTGAATCTACTTACATAAAGAGTGAGTAGCTCAAAACTGGTGCTCAATATTTAGAATGACTGAATATTCATGTAGGGAGTAGGGGAGTGTTTCTTTTGTTTTGGGGACAGTAGACCTTGTAAGAGCCAGAGCAATAGGACAGATTACTCTGATTGACTTCTGACTCTCTCACTTACTAGTTCTTTTCTCTTGGACACATTGCTTACTTTTGTTCCTTAGTATTCTCTTCTACAAATTGAGTGTGATAGGGTTGTTATTAGGATTAAATGAATTAATGGATGTAAATCATTTAATATACTTTCTGGTATGTGACACATAAGTAATAAATGTTAGGTATTATTTTGCATTTAGGACTAACCTTCTTATAAAGTGCCTTCGTGGCAATGTGGGTGAGGTGTGTTGGGCTGCTAACCACAGGTTGCTGGTTCAAATTCACCAGCAGTGGCTGGAGAAAGATGAGGCTATCTGCTTCCATAAAGATTTACAGTCTCAGAAACCTTTGTAGGCTGGCTATGAGTCTGAATCTACTCAGGATAGTGGGTCTCTTTTTGTTTTAGTCTGCTTTTCAAATATTGTTGTTGTTGTTGTTGTTAAGTGCCATCGAGTCGGGTCCGACCCATAGCGACCCTGTACAGGGTTTCCGAGGGTGTAAATCTTTACGGGAGTAGAAAGCCTCATCTTTCTCCCGCGGAGCGGCTGGTAGTTTCGAACCGCTGACCTTAAGGTTCGCAGCCCGATTCGTAACCACTACGCTACATACAGCCACAATTTATTAAAATATCCCTGTGAAACCGATAATATGGGCTATTTCACGTAGTGTAACTCTTGATCTCTGAACTATGGAGAACTTCTCTTCTATGCTATAACCTGAACTATGGAGAACTTTTCTTCTCTGCTTACAGGTAGCAGTTGAAACCAAAGTACCATCTTTTGCAGTGCGGGGAGCGCTGGGGACGCCTGGCGGGGAATAAACTACAGCTCCCAGAATTCCTAGTGGCGGCCTCTAGGAGTTATTTTACCCCTTCCCCACCACGTTCTGGGCGCCTGCTTGGAATTATGCGGCATGTGGTTGTCTCCTGAAAAAAAATTTTTAAATAGGGTTTTTGTTGTTTTATTTTTCTGTTAACATAACGACAAATTCTCTGAGCATTGGTTGAGTCGGAGGAGGAGCCGGTAGTTAGTGTCACTCAATCCCTCTGCCCCCTCCCCCGCATCCTGAATGAACCAGGAAGTGAAAGTTATCCTGGGTCTGTCGGGCTGAAATATAGAGAGCCACAGAAGGTTCCGTTTCAGTAAGAAAATCTAACGTCCTTTCTTCGTTTTCTTAGGTACAGTTCTATCTTGATCTTAAAAGGGGTTTTACCTTTTCTCAGTTTTATTCCTGTTGTCTAATCAGTCCCTTATCCTGGAATCATTCCGTGTGTTTACACGCGCTGCTTCTGTTACTATGGTGGGAGATGGGGAAGACTTGCCAGTCTCAAGTCTAGATAACCATGGAAACATTTACTTTTAACTTGGAGATTCTTGACCTTGAAAGTCACTCATTCTACTATGGAACTTTTAGCTAGACGTATGCTAATGAAAAATCTGTATGCCATACATTTATTTTGTCCATTCTCAAATACCTACACCTCCTCAGAGGCTGGAAACCAAGGCAGTGTAAGATTTAATGGATACTGGGAGTTGGAGCAAGGAGACTTAGTGGCGTTTTCGTTGTCGGTTAGGCGTTGGGCTGTTAGCTGCAAGGTCGGTGGTTCAAACCATCCAGACTCTTGAGTGGGAGGAAGATGAGGCTGCCTGTTTGTGGTGCTGAAGGATAAGCACCGGACTGCTAACTTCAAGGTCGACAGTTCAAACCCACCAGCCACTGCTTGTAAACTTTACAGAGTCGCCATGATTCGAAATCGACTTGAGAGCACATTAACAAGTGCTGGAATCACTTAACAAGAGTTAGAATCAAATGGAAGGCAATGGGTTTGGATTTGGAGTGAGTGGCGGTGGTTTCCAAAGAGCTGCTGGTATATTTGTATCGCGGAGCTCGTGGGTCAGCTGTCCAGTACTGATCCTACAGCACCACACCAGGACTTTGCAAACTGTGAGCATTTTAGAAACCTCCTGAGTGTTTTGTTTCCTAGGAGATACTGCTAAGTTGTTGTTAGTATGTGCCACTGAGTCAGTTCTAACTCATAGCTACCCTGTGTAGGGTTTTCAAGGAGCGGCCGGTGGGTTTGAACTGCTGACCTTGCAGTTGGTAGCTCAGTTCTTATCCTACAACACCACGACATTACTTATAATAATAAAATGAATTAATAAGTGAATGTAAATCCTACATACAGGGTACATTGGAGACATTAAATGTTGATTCTAGTATATTTGACCCTTATTTAAACTTTTTGAACATTGCATTATAGAGGCAAAGCAATTTCCTTAGAACATTTTTTTCTTTTTTCTTTCTTATTCTACAAGACCATATTTTAGTTAGCTTTTGATTATCTCTGTTGGAGGGGAAGAGAACCGATAACTGTTGTACACAGCCAATTTCACTTAAAATAATTTCTTACCTTCCCCCCCCCACCCCAGTTTATAAAAGTAAGAGGTGCTCTATGTGTGGGAGTCTTGAAAAACACTGAAAAATAAATCCAGCAAAATGTATCCATAATGACACAACATAGAGATAACTTTATTAACAGTTGGCATGTTTCTTTGTTAAATTTTCTTAATCAATACTGTGTGTACCCTTTAAGGATCCCTGGTGGCACAGTTGGTTAAGCATTGAGGTGCTAATCAAACCCACTAGTGCCCAGAGGAAGAAAGACGTGGCAGTCTGCTTCCATAAAGATTTACAGCCTCAGAAATTCTATGGAGCAGTTCTACTCTGTCTTGTAGGAGTACTATGAATGGGAATCAACTGAACAATTTGTTGTTGTTGTTAAGTGCTGTCGAGTTGGTTCCAAGCCATAGCGACCCTGTATAGGGTTTCTAAGGAGTGGCTGGTGAACTTGAACCCCTGACTTTGCACTCTAGCACATTAGCCAGCAGTGTAATCATATATATATATATATATGTTGTTGTTAAGTGCTGTTGAGTCAGTTCTGACTCATAGTGACCTTGTATAGGGTTTCTGAGGAGCAGCTGGTGGGTTTGAACTGCCGACCTTATAGCTCAAACTGACCTTGTAGTGCAGAACATTATGCTGCAGGGCCTACCAGGACTTAAATATATATATTTAGAGAGAGAGAGAGAGCGAGAGAGAGAGAGCACTCTGGTAGCATAGTGGTTACGAATTGGACTGTTAACCTCAAGGTCAGCAGTTCTAAACTACCAGTTGTTCCGCGGGATAAAGATGAGGTGTTCTGCTCCCATAAAGATTTGCAGCCTCTATAACCCTGTGCAGGGTTACTATGAGTCGGAACCGACTCCATGGTACTTAACAACAACATATATATATGTTTAGTTTGTTGTACATAAGGGTCGTTATGAGTCAGTACCAACTCTTGATGGTACCTAACAATAACAAAATATACAATGTGTATACAATGTGTATATATACATATAAGGAGCTCTGGTAGCATAGTGGTTACGAATTGGGCTGTGAACCTTAAGGTCAGTGGTTTGAAACTACCAGCTGCTCTGCGGGAGAAAGATGAGGCTTTCTACTCCTGTAAAGATTTACACCCTTGGAAACCCTGTATAGGGTCGCTATGGGTCAGAGCCGACTCGACGGCACACAACAACAACAACATATATATATGTGTGTGTGTATATGTATATAAATTATATATATATACACACACATATGATAAGGAGCTCTGGTGTCTTAGTGGTTATGAATTGGGTTGCTAACTTCAAGGTCAGCAGTTTGAAACTACCAGCTGTTCTGCAGGAGAAAGATAAGGCGTTCTGCTCCTGTAAAGATTTACAGCCTCGGAAACCCTGTACAGGGTCGCTATGAGCCGTAACTGTCTCACGGCACACCACCACTATATATATATGATTTAAAAAAAAAAAAAAAAGGCAGCAGTGCTATTTCTATTTATTTTTATTTCTTAGGAGATTGAAGAAATATTTTTTGTGTGTGAATTGGTGAGTTTTGTGGCAGTTTGGGGAGTTAGGTGAGGTAGTGAACTGAATATGATTTCTTAAAGCTCCATCCAGCTCTATCATACCATAGGTATATAGATTTATCAGATTGTGTTCATTATGTTTCAGATGCTGAGATGAATCGTCATCTGTGTGTTTGGCTATTTAGACATCCTTCTCTTAATGGTTACCATCGGTGTCACATCTACCTTGATTTTCAACAATTTAGACATCTACACCTTGACACAAGAATGTGGATTCTTAGACAAAAGAAGAATTATGTCTTACGTTCTCTGTTAAATAAGAATTGGTCCAGAAGCTATTGTAATCGAAACACCAGGATGCTGCGGAACCATAGATCACTACAAAAATATATGGAGGACATTACCAAGGAGTGCCAAAAACTTGATCAGTGTTTGCAGCATGTTTCTGTGGATGAAGGTGATCGAAGGTCTTTGAGCCAAAGGCATGCCAAATTGCTACCACTAATAGCCATTTATCAAGAAATTCAGGAGGCCAAACAAGCAATTGAAGACTTAGAATCCATGTGTAAAAGTAGGTAAAAAATATTCACTACTCCCCAGCTATTGACCATCGCATTATTCAACATTTCGGTTTACAACCATAGTTAAAAATCTACTCTCCGACTATTTTGTACATTAATGACATAGGTCTGCCACAAACGCCAAGATGTGAGGCAAGAGTAACACTGGCTGTGATGGTTAAGTTATGTGTCAGCTTGGCTGGGCCATGATTTTCAGTGGTTTATCAGTTATGTAATGATGTAATATGTTCTGCAAATATGAAAGACACAGTCTAATAAAAAGAATGGTCACCCCATTCTTTTTACATAATGTCAAATTTCACACAACAATCTGGTCTTTGGAATTTAACCATGTTGATAAGTGAGGAGTGGGGGTATATGAATACAAGTACAGTATTGTCTTTTCAAGTTAAGTTTTATTGAACTCAGTTTTTGAAACATCTGCACATAATAAGCTGTATGCTTGAAAAGGATAGGACTCTGTATGTGTGTGACGTATTTTAACTATAACATCAACTACTCTGTGATTGAGCTCCTTGTTAATTGTTGTTCTTAAATGCCATCGAGTCAGTTCTGACTCATAGCTACCTTGTCTATGGTTTCCGAAGAGTGACTGGTGGGTTTGAACTGCTGACATTGTGGTTAGCAGTCCAGTTCTTATCCTACAGCATCACACTAGGATAAGTCTTTGTAGTGACTGCTGAAATGTTCTTAGGGTCTGTTAGACTCAATATTAACTTTTTCAGACCTTAAATGAGTATTAGCCTAGGTACCAGGAACTCAAAAATTTAGTTCCTGCCCTGCCAAAGGGCTTATACCATCTGAGAAACCATATATATTTTAATATTCATTTTTCTATGTTGTTTATCATGTGATTCATTCTCCATTAGAGGAAGGCAGAGGGTACTACAGAAGCAAACAGGACAAGTATTCAAACCAGTTCCTGGCTGTCCTCTGTAGAGGACATGTGACTGTGAGCTTTCAGTAGCACATCACCACAGGCCTGTCTTCTGAGGCCCCACTGGCTGAGGTGGAACCACCAACCTTTCACTTAGTAGTGAAGCCTCTCACCCAGGGACTCCATAAAAAGTTCCCAGTAAGAGTTAAATGTTGCAAATATGAAAGACACAGTCTAACAAAACTCTAATGAGTTCCTTAGGTGGAATCCTGAGCCCTATTCAGAACCTTCTGAGGTGGGACATTCCCATTAGAAAGATCAAGCAGAACAGCCTGGAACAGCCTAGAACAGCTAGTGACAGAATATACTTCTTTTTTTTTTTTTTTTTTGGCTTTAATTTCTTTCTGTCTGTTTGTTTTTAATGTCTTATTGTGAATTATGTGATAGTTTACAGGGGAGAACATTAGTCCTATCATGTATCATTTCATTGCCATGATTACAATCCCCTCCATGCATCATCAGACAACCAAAGGGTACACCCCGCAAGCCTGCCCCTCGTCTAGACCCAGACTCTCTGGGTCTAGAGTCCCCAGCCACTCCATCTCTCCATGTCATCATCTCTGCCTCTATCTCTGGCATCACTGTTTCTCTGGGTAGGGTTCCACACTCTGCTCTTCTCCCTTGATGGGCTCAGGGACCTCCTCTCCTGGACTATAAAGTCAATCACTCCCCTCCTTTTGCTACAAAACGTCTACCTTTACAATTCCAACTCTCATAATCAGTCCTGATAGCGATTATTCACTATTGTACCACAAGAGTCCTATTCCCATCTTCTTTCATCAATCCCACACAGACAGATTGGATACTACTTAGTAGAAATTCTACCTTCCTCTGTGCCCTCTGGATCTACGCTCTCTCTTGAAAGCTTATAAGTCAGTCACTTCTTGCCTTTGTCACCCACCTCCCCCGACTTTGGGTAGCCAATGTCCAAGTTGCCCATCCCTGTCTACCCTGTGTACTAAGGGGGTAGAATGATCTTCATTGTAAAGATTTGTTCCCTCTTTTGAGCTACTGCATCCATAGGTGTAGGTCAGCTTCATCAAATTGTATCAGATTACTCTTTTTTTCTGGAAGATACTTCTTGAAAGAATGAGCCACAGGAAAAATCCAAAACAAAAATAGCAGTCTGATAGGCTGCTACAAGAACGAGCAAGTTGTTCGCTGGGGACTCATCAAGGGGAGCAGTTAAGTCCCTTTAGGACAAACCCCCCTCCAAGACTGAAATTCAGAGGGAACACATGAGCAGGCATGTAAGCTTGCTGACGACCATGTTGGTTTACTGATGAGTGGAAGAGAGGGAAAGGCAGCAATGAAGAAATGGGCTAAGTTCAACCATGTTCCATAGACTTCTGTTGACCTGGAGATGAGAGAGAGAAGAGGAAGGGCTGGTTAGTCCAAAGTGTGGTGAGACCTGGGAACTCCTGAACACATGGATAAGGACATAGCCACAGAGGGCTAGAGCTGAGAGTGAAGTGTCCAGCTGATATGAAGTGAGGGGAGATGCACAAGAATGCCCAGACTTGCAAATAGTACCTATTTGACCTAGCCTTGATGGCTTGATGATCAGAATTCAACTAGAGGAAGATAAAAAAACAATTTTTGATAAAGGAAACAAGTGTAAGTTGCTACAGTTTGATGAACTTGACCTATACTTATGGATGTAATAACTCAGAATACCAATTGAGAGCGAAGGAGACTTCACATCAAGTATCAATGCTATCCCTTCTGTACACTGGGTAGATAGGGACGGGCAACCTAAAATGAGGGTGCTATAAAGGTACAAAGGGACTGGTTTACAAGTTTTCAAGAGAGATTTTAGTTTAAGAGTGTGCAGGGAAAGGTAGACTTCCCACTGAATAGTTTTCATCTTGTCTAGATGGGTCTGGTGAAAGGAGATGGGGATAAGATTCTTATGATTCAATAGTGAGTCATTGTTACCATGACTAATTGCAACTGTCACAACTGTAAAGGTAGAAGTTTTGTAACAAAAAGGGGGGAGTAGTTAATCTTTCAGTCCAGAAACAGAGGACCCTAGGATCATCAGGGGAGAAGAGCATGTACGGAATGTGGAACCCTATCCATACACGCAGTGACACCAGAGATGGAGGCAGAGATGAGGACATGGAGAGAGGGAGCAGCTGAAGACTCTAGACTCATGGAAAGAAAAAGACTTGAGTGCTGGTAGCCAGGAGGCAGGCTTGCAGAATATGCCCTTTGGTTGTTTAAATTATTATATATTACTGAGTGTTTTTGTGTACATCCCCCAGCCCCTCCAAAAATCAACAAAAGGAATAGAAACAAATACTATTGAATGATGATACACGAAAGAGATTGTAATCATTGCAATGAAACGATGAGTGTAAAACCGATGTTCTCCCATGTAAACTATCGCTCAATTCACAATAAAAACTTGGGGAAAAAAAGAGAGAGTCTTTTCTCTTTGACAATTGTGACTCCAGGAGTGAAGTTTTTGAGGGGCTAAGGGTGGTGCTGTAAGGAGCTCTGGTAGCGTAGTGGTTACGAATCGGGCTGCGAACCTTAAGGTCAGTGGTTCGAAACTACCAGCCGCTCCGCGGGAGAAAGATGAGGCTTTCTACTCCCGTAAGGATTTACACCCTCGGAAACCCTGTACAGGGTCGCTATGGGTCGGCTCCGACTCGAAGGCACTTAACAACAACAACAACAACAAGGGTGGTGCTGTGGGTTAATGCACCAGACTACGAAGCTGTCTGAACTGCGAGGTTGGTGGTTTTTCAAGCTCACCAGGTGCTCCTTGGAAACCCTATATAGGGTCGCCATGGATCGGAACAGCACTTCACAACAACAAGGGTGCTTAAAAAGATCATGTTTACTTTCTAATTTCTTCTCTACAATTATGGGGCATTACACATTTCTACCTCCGTTTGCAACCATCACAACTGGTAAATGAAGTATCTAGACATCTAAATCAGTGGAGTCAAAGGTGATGGAATCCACCAATGTTGTTGTTAAGTGCTGTCAAGTCGAATCCGACCCATAGAGACCCTGTACAGGGTTCCCGAGGCTATAAATCATTACAGGAGCAGAAAGCCTCATCTTTCTCCCATGGAACAGCTGGCAGTTTTGAACTGCTGACCTTAAGGTTCGCAGCCCAATTCGTAAACACTACACTACCAGAGTATCTTCCACCATACTTGGATACTAATTCATTGTTATCTTACTTGTTAGAAATCTATGATTTCATTTTTTGCTTTTGAAGTGATTGAAAAGAATTGTTGTTCCCATAAAGCAGAAGTTGCAAAGATGTGCTTTTTTTTTTGACACAAATGTTATTTTGTGAAAATGTGTACTGCAAATTTGGAGTCCTGGTTACATAATGGTTAATTGCTTAACTGCTAATTAAAATGTTGGTGATTTGAACTCCTCAGCTACTATTCTGGCAAAAGATGTGTCAGTCTCCTTCCATACAGATTTACAGCCTTAAAAAATCCTATGAGCAGTTCTGACCTGTCCTCTCAGGTCACTGTGAGTTGGAATTAACTCGATGGCAATGCATTTTATACTGTATATGACTATATAAAATTTAGGAGCTTTCCATTTTTCAGTGTTTTATTTTTGATTTTCTTGAAAGATTGATTGATGGCTAGAGGCATGCTAGACCCACATCACAGTGCACTGAGTAATAGCTGTCATCTTTAGACAGGATATGACCACTCCAATTTATTCCAAAACTTACCTTATTTAAGTTTATATTTTTAATGAAGCAGTTCAGTTTTGAACCTTTTGTTTGAATAATTACAGATTTCAGTGTTAAAGACATTCAGATCACCAGCTCCTACAGGCAAGGTCATATTGTCATTTTGAACCTCAATGTTTTGAATATGCTTAGTAAGTTCTTGTTAGTCAACATTCTTCAACTATTTTAACTGTTCTTTTTGCGTAATCCTTGGCCTTTACAAGAGAAATAAAATTTAGTGGGCAAGAACTAGTGGCTGTTTTGAAAGTTTCTTAGCACTTTTGAACTTTTACCATTATTTTTGTTTCTGGTTTTCAGGTCTGAATAAACAAGATGAAAAGCAATTACAAGAACTTGCACTAGAAGAAAGACAAACTATTGATCAGAAAATCAATATGTTATATAATGAGGTATGTTTTAGACGACAGCCTAATCTCAGTGGAGCTCTTCTGAAGGGACACTGTTCTTCCTAGACTATGCATTGTGCTGAAACTACTTTCCAGACACTAGCTTATTAAGTCTTTCTTCTCTGTAATGTGTATTTTTCTTGCTAAACTATGCTTTGATGCTCAGAATACTTTCTGGATACCAGCTTATTAAGCCTTTCAGCTATTAACCTAAAGGGTTGACTTTTAGAGCTACCCAGAGACCCCTGGGGAGATAGACTTTATAATCTGCTTCCAAAAGGTGGCAGCCATGAAAGCCTATGGAGCACAGTTGTTCTCTGCCACACATGGGGTGCCACAAAAATGGAATCAACTTACAACTGATTTTATTTTGAACGAATGATTAAACTAAGCTCAGTGCTGTAGATTGCTACCAAGTGAGTTGGAAGATACGGTAGTGTCAAAGAATAAAATTAAGTTCCTAAAAACTAAAAAGAATTCCAAATCTGAATTTGTTAACTTCCCAGGAAAGGAAACTCATACCAGTGAAAAAATTTAGTTCACAATTGGGAAAATAGTTGGGTTTTAAGCACTAGAAAGGACACAGTTAATGATAACTTTTTAAGATTGAAAATCTGTAGTCTGGATAGAATATAATGAAATTATAGGTGTAGACTCAGTTGTCTAAAACAAGTTTTTAGTTAGGTCTTGTAAGGTTCCGGACTTCTGGTGTGGCATTGTAGGATCAGCAATGACTGTGCAAATCACAAGATCGTCAGGTCAAACCTATCAGCTGCTCCTTAAAAACCCTATACAGGGTCGCTATGAATGGGAACCAACTCAATGGCACTTAACAACAACAACAAGTGTCTGAATCCACCCAGTGTGTCTTCAAGAGGAAGACCTGGCTTTTATAATGACTTCAGTCAAGAAAACCCTATGAGGAAGTTCTGGTCTGTCATACGGAATTTTTAGTGGTGGGATCTACTCCACGGCACCTGACAACAAGTAAGGGTCCAGTATACTAGTCTCTCAAGACTCATGATACTTTATTAACATCTGCTAGGATTACCAGCCATGTTGAAACTGAAAATTCACTTTTGTTACCTCCCAGACAAGTAAATGGAAAATTTTTCTTTTGATGATGGTTTCTTCTCCTTCTGGTTCAAAGTATGACTTTCTACACAAACAGTAGAGAACATGGTGCTGTATACCAGTTTGTCCTCCTCCTGTCTTTGGTCCTCCCCACTTAAGAAATCCAGGAGTGAAGGTTTTGAGGGGCTAAGCATGCCGAGGTAGAGTTGTCAGCTACTTTTATTCCTGATTTAACCAGCGTATCAAAGACAGAAGCAAGATGTCTGACCAGCATAATATTCACCACCACCAACTATGTAATTTTCAGTAGACATAGAGTATTTAGAAAAGGCAGTGGAGAGAGGCAGGGATTCCCTGGGCAGCACAGATGGTTAAGGACTCAGCTGCTAACCAGAAGGTTGGGAGTTTGAGTTTACCTAGAGGCATCTTGTAAGAAAGGCCTGATGATCTACCTGCGAAAAATCAGCTCTGAGAACCTGATGGAGCACAGTCCTATTCTGACATGCATGGGGTCACCATGAACTAGAATTAGCTTGAAGCAACAGGTTTGGTGTTTTTGGTTTTAGGGAGACACAAAATACGTAGGTGTTCTTAACTTTATTTGAAGGCCCTTTTAATAACAATAAAATCATTTTTCTTCCTAAGATAAAAGTACTTTCTTTGTTAGAAACCCCCTTTTTGTTGTCTGGGAATCTATTTGATCCTTAATCTTGGGCATCCTTAACACTTTTAAAACAAAGTACAGGCAAGGCACGGTACCTGCTGACATTCATGCCTTTCTGGCAGGAGAGAATAAACAGTTGTATTATTAAAAGTTTACTTTCCCCAAATGAAGACGTTCAAAGCTTTAAGTGAAAGAAGCTAGTGTTCACAAGTAATTATCAGTGGCAAAGTCTGAAGAAAACTGAATGGAACACTGTACTTTGATCTAAATTTCTGCAGTTAAGAAAATTAAGACAGTATGAGCACTGAAGAGCAAGTATATCCTGACAAGTGACTTCATTGTTAGCATGAATTAAGCAGTTATTTAAGATCTAATATTATACTTATTGCAGCATTTTAGGGCAGGACCTAAATTGGGATGCTATATAATTTTGTTGATTACTGATTTCTTAATGTTCTAGGATCGTTTATATATAAATAATAAATAACTTATTGTGGTTTGTCATCGAGTCGGTTCCCACTCATAGTGACACTGTATAGAGTTCCCGAGAACAGCTGGGGGGTTTGAACTGCCAGTCCAGTGCTGATACTACAGCACCACACCAGGGCTGAAGTAGTAAAAGTATACTATTTAATGATATAAGTAATAAGTGATAACACTGAAAAACCAAGCTCATTACACTTTTTACTCATAGTGACCTTGTAGGACAAAGTAGAACCTCTCCATAAGGTTTCCAAGGCTGTAATCTTATGGAGGACTTCTGGTGTGGTGCATTGTGGATCAGCACTGGACTGCAAATCACAAGGTCAACAGTTCAAACCCACCAGCTGCTCCTTGGAAACCCTATATAGGGGTCACTGTGAGTTGGAACCAATTTGACAGCACTTAACAACAACAACAGCAGTCTTTATGGAAACAGACTACCACACTTTCCTCTTATGAAATGTAAGGTGGATTTGAACCACTGACTTTTTTGTAAACAGACAAGCACTTTAATTACTGACCATCAGGCCTACTATTAAATAGTATAGCAAGGAAAATGTATATATCGATGTTATTTTTTTTTTGGTTTTGTTTTCAGCTTTTCCAGAGTTTAGTGCCAAAGGAGAAATACGACAAAAATGATGTGATTTTAGAGGTAACATCTGGAAGAACTACTGGAGGTCAGTAAAAAATTACTTTAAAAAAGAAATACTTTTAACTCATGGTATATGGAAGGGATTATAATCAATGTAATGAAACAAGTTATATGAATGGTTGAATGTGAAACTGATGATGTGCCATGTAAAGTTTCACTCAATCCACAATAAAAACCTTAAATTAAAATAAATAAATAAAATAAAAAGTTAACTTTTATTTTGAATGGCCCCTATCTATTTTTAAAAATTCATTTTATTGTTGTTGAGTATATATACAGCAACACCAAGTCAACCGATTCTACATGTACCCCTGAGTGACGTTTTTCAAGTAGAGCAGCCATTTTGCCCTCCTTTTCGGAGTTGTTCCTCTCCTATTAACATAAACTCACTGCTCCCAAAGGCTCCTAGTTAATCTTTCAAATTGCCATCACCTTAAAGACCATCATGGTCAAGGCAGACAGTTTTTACTAGTTAAGGTAAACAGACGTTTGATTTTAAGAAGACTTCAGAAGATAAATTTGGCTTAAGGTTTAAAGATTATCTCTGGATAAAATAGTTTCTTTTTTTTAATGACTTTCAAAGTACTTAAATTGTACCATGATCTGACATGTTTATCATTTTAAACACCCTTTCAATATGTTTAACTCAGAAAATAGTTACTCATTTCCAGAGAGCCTTTATCTACAGAAGGGAGCCCTGGTGACACTGTGGTTAAGTGCTCAACTGCTGATTGAAAAGTCAGCTGTTCGAATCCACCAGCTCCTCTGCAGGAAACAACATGTGACAGTCTGTTTCCGTAAAGACGTATGGGCTTGGAAGCCCTGTGGGGACTTCGGCTCTGTCCTGCAGAAAGCCACTCAGTGGCAGTAGGTTTGTTCTTTTTGGTTTTTTGCCTACAGATGATTCTCTTAAAAACTTGTGTCGACTGAATATTCTTTGTATTTCCTTTGTATTAGGTGATATTTGCCAACAATTTACCCTGGAAATATTTGACATGTACCAGAGTTATTCATGCTATAAGCACTGGAACTTTGAACTTCTGAATTATGCACCAGCTGATTATGGTAGGTGTATTGAGTATTTTATCACTAGAAAATGCTAAAAATTGTTTTACTTCAAATATTGCCCGAAATTATGAGTCCCATTTAAAACAACATTCCATCTGTGTTTATTAAGCACTGACATAGGCTCATCAGCCACAGAAGCTGATATAGGGCTCTTAACTGAGAAAAGAGAGTGGGAGGAAGGAAACATCCCTACTAGGAAGGAATATCTGAATTAGAAAAATGCACTGTAAAGGAGAGATAGATACCTTGTCTTGACAAGCATTGCTCTCTATTATTCAGAAAAAGAAGTACTACATTTCGCTTTAAAGAGCATCAGTTATGTGATACAGTCAGCAAGTATTATCAGTGGGTCTAAGTACCTAAATGATGTGTTAGATTTTCTGGGACTGCAGAAAAGGTTTGCCTTTATCCCCAAGAAGCTTTTGCTCTAATTGGAAATGATAAAACACATATTTTATCAATATCGGTAACAATAATCAACAGTGCAAATCCATTAAGCTTTTACTACAGGTAATTCTGATTTATGCTAGGTTCTACTCTGATGACTGTGTTGTAAATTGGTTCTGATGTAAGTCGAGCACCATTTGGCTGTTTTAGTTTTCATTATAATTGCCTTCTTTATAAATTTAATCTGTGAATAACTTAGTGAATATCTGCAAATGATAACATCATGAAATTCTGCATTGTTGATGATGTTATCATTTTCAGATATTCACTAACATATGCAATTCACTAATCATCATGCTGCATCACTGCCTCCATGAATAAACCCTTCTTTGCTACGAGACCAGAAGGACAAGATGGTGCCCAGCTACCAACACTGAACATTTTGATCAGAGTCCATAGAAGAATCCTGATCGAAAGGGGAAAATACGGAACAGAATTTCAGTTTCATGGACTCTAGACTTTCTGAAGCCATGAAGTGTGGATGAACTCTTTGTACTATTGTCCTAAGATAATCTTTAACCAAAACTCTTCCCTGAAGTCTTCTTAGAACCAAATAGTTGTTGTTATGTGCTATTGAGTCAGTTCCAACTTATCGCAACCCTGTATAGAGTTTCTAGTGAGCCGCTGGTAGGTTTGAACTGCTGACCTTGTGGTGCATAGTCCAGTGCTGATCCTACAGCGCCACACCAGGAATCCAGTCCTTCTTTCTTCTTCGCATTCTTTTAATCCATCTGTAAATTTTGTGTTTGGTTATACAGTGATACGCTGTAGTGGTAGAGAGTAGGGGTAACAATCCTAAATTGCAGACTATCAAAGTAGGGAAAGAGGGAGATAAAAAGCAGCAGGAGGGCCTAAGGTGTATTTGGTCTGGATTCTAAAGACTGGCCGGAGGACTATCAGTGAGAGCGGAGGGGAGGAACAGCCTGAACTGCAGCACAGTGGTGGGAAAGAGCGTGGTGTATGTGTAGGGGCAGTGAGGAGGCGGATTCACTCAGAGAATAGTAACAACAACAACAAAAATATTTGGGATAAGGCGCCCTGGTGGCACCGTGGTTAAAACTCTTGGCTGCTAGCCATAAGTTTGAGCTCAACAGCTGCCCCACGGGAGAAAGAAGTGGCAGTCTGCTTCCATCAGGGTTTACAGCCTTGGAGACCCTATGGGGGCAGTTCTTCTCTGTAGTGGTCCTACAAGGATTACTCACTGTAAGGCTGCTGTACATTGGAATCAAGTTGGCAGCATGGGCTTGTTTTTTACTTTGGATATTTGTGATGGGAAGTAATAGGCATAGATCTGCGTGGTAGGTTTTTAAGTCTCGAAAGCTGAATAAGCCATGATTGACAGGCAGTAAGAAGCTGCTGATGAGCCCTGGTGGTCCAGTGTTAGGTGCTCAGCTGCCCGAAGACTGGTGGTTTGAATCCCCTAGCTGCTCCACAGGGTGAAAGACCCAGCGGTAGGCGCCCATAACAATTCACAGCCTCAGAAACCCTACGGACAGTTCTACTCCATCCTATGGAGTAGACTCAAAGGCACCCAATAACAACAACAAAAAGAGCTGGTGAAGTTTTTTCAAATAGGAATGTAATGTGATAAAGTAATATTTTTAACAAGATTATTTTAGCAACAGTATAAAGGATGGATTGAAGGGGCTAGATTAAAGGCAGATGCAAAGAGGTTATAAGAGTAATGCAAGCAAGAGGAAAAGTGGGCACAATTTATTGGCCAGCTGGACACCACTGGGCTATTGCTTACCCATGTGTCCCATGTGTACTGTAAGGTGTTTGACCTTCACAATCCTATGAGAGGCTATTATTTGTTATTAAGTAGCATCAAGTTGGTTCTGATGCATAGCAGCCCTGTATAGGTTTCAAGGCTGTAAATCTTTGCAGAATCAGAAAGCCTCGTCTTTCACTTTCAGAGTGGTTGGTGGGCTAAACCGCCAACCTTGTGGTTCACAACCCAGCACTTATTAATCACATCTTATAGATGCAGATTTCGACTCAGAAATCACAATAAATATTAGCAGTCATGGGATTAGCCTTAAAGCTGTCCGATCCAAATCCCACAAGACTATGTTGACACAGGGGAGATGAGCCACAGGAATTTGAATCGTTCTAGCCAGGAGGGTTGGGATCTTCAGTCACACCATTGAGTGAAATAAACGTTGGAAGGTAAAACCAATTCAGGAAGAATAATGATGAATAGTGGTTCTTCAGTTATTAAATTTGATGCTATAATAGGCATCCATGTAGAAACATCCAGTAAATGCTAGCTTTGTAAACTAGAGCTTTGGTGAGAGAATAGATTTGGAGAAGGACATTTGATATTTAATAGCTATCAACACAGAAGTAGTACCTGATACTGAGAGATTACCTGAGAGAGAGGTTAAATAAAGCATAAACATTTAGGGCACCAAGACTTGGAGGATGGGCACATTTCAACAGACAGGTAGACTAGCCGGCAAAAGAGAAGAGAAGTAACAGTCAGATACGCAGAAAAAGAATGAGGAATGAGAAAAAGAATTATGGAAGCAAAGGGAATATATTATATTTCAAGGGGAATATGGACAGAAACTGCAGCATAGCACAGAGAATAGTGGGACCTGCCTTCAGTGACCGCTGAGATGGGTATTTTGCCTAGAACTCTGAAGAATGAAAGGGAGATGAATTTGGTAATGGGAAGAGAGATTGTGTTCCAGGGAAGGAAAGCAAATAAGCAGTAGCTGGGAAGCGTTGCTTTCAGATACACTGGCAAAATAAAATACAGAGATTTTTTAAAAGTTAAAAAGCCTTTTTTTAAAGAACGGAAAAATTTACAATATTTCACTTATATACTGTGATGGTTAAGATGATGCGTCAGCTTGGCTGGACAATGGTTCTCACTGGTTTGGCAGATATTTGATGTTATCATTCCCCATTTTGTGATGTGATATGAGCAGTCAGTCAGTTGAAAGGGGAGTTTTCTTGGAGTGCGGCCTGCATCCAATATATTGGAATATTCTGTCAAAGCTTGCCCTCTGTCTATCCTGCAACCAACTCATCATTCTCTCACCTTTTGTTCTTGGGGCCTGAGCCAGCAGCCTTCTGCCTGCCCTGCCCATTTTGGGTTTGTCAGCCCCTGAGAAGCCTCTAACCTGACTCATGGGTTTGGGAGTTACCAGCCTCCACAGCTGCATGAAATAAATGTTTAAGTTTACTCCTCACTGATTTTGCTTCTCTAGAGAGCTCAGTTTAAGGCAGTACATTTAAAAACTCAGAACAACCTTCTATTCATTGAAATTATAAATACTTTAAAAAATTGGTTTATCAAGAAGAGAAAAGGATGTGGCTGGGGAAAGACTAATGTAGAGAAATGGGGGAAAGCATCTAACATATATTGATACGTACAAGGATAAGTCAAAAAGTATTACTATAAAATTATAAAAACCCTTAATAAACAGAAATATCAAAATGTGAAGCTCCTGTTTCTTGGCACATGCTCCATCTAGGTCTATACACTTCTTTTTTGTTTTGTTTTGTTTTTAATTGAAGCATATAGGATGCTTTATTTTGAGTTATGTGAGTTTACATGGGAGAACATTAGCTTCACATCGATCCCATCGTATATTGTTTCCTTGCCATGGTTACAATCCCCTCCATGCATCATCCACCAACCACAGGGTATACCCCGCAAGCCTGCCCACCCCCAGTCATCAGCACACAGGCCCTCTCCCTCTCCAGGTCCAAAGTCCCCAGCTGCTCCATCTTTCCACGTCATCATCTTTGCCTCCATCTCTGGCATCACCGCTTCCCTGAGTAGAGTTCCATTCTCCGCTCTTCTCCCTTGCTTAGTCCCAGAGACCTCCGCCCCTAGACTGCAAAATTAATCCCTCCTCTCCCTTTGCTACAAAACGTCTTCCTTTACATTTCCAGCCCTCACAATCTGTCCTGATAACAATTATTCACCATTGTATCACAAGAGTAGGTCTATACACTTCTGAAGGCAGTGTTTCTCTCTTTCTAACCTTTTCCCAGATAACTCCGCATTCTTCAATTTATACCACACCAAAATGGAAGCTTCTCATTGTTGTTAAGCTCCGACCCATAGTGACCCTGTATAGGGTTTCTCAGGAGTGGCTGTGGTAGCTAATAAATTGAAATATTTTCCAAGCAAAGGAATTCTGTAAAATACATTATTTTATCTCTCCCTCTATTGTTGTTAAGTGCCTTGAAGTCAGTTCTGATTCATGATGACCCTGTGTAGGGTTTCTGAGGAGCTACTGGTAGGTTTAAACCGTCAAGCTTGCTAGGCTGTTTTCAATTATGTAAGGAGCGCTGATGGTACTAACCACAATATCAGGGATTTAATCCCAGCAGCTGCTCCACAGAAGAATGATAAGACTGCCTACTCCCATGAAGATTTATGCTTCTAGTCTGTCCCGTGGTGTTGAGATGAGTTGGAGTCTACTCAGGTGGGAGTGAGTTTGGGTTTTTGATTCACCAGTTGAATCCAAGGAAAGGTCACTTAAAATAATAGCGATAATTGTGCCTTCTATACCAACTTCTAACGCTTG